GGGGGGGGTTTGGACTAGATGACCTTTAAAGGTCCCTTCCCACCCAGACTATTCTATGCTTCTATGATTCTACGACATCTCCTTCCAGAAGCCCATTTCGGTTCTCCCTCTGGTTTGGTCATTACCCCTCGTGCTTTGGCACATCCATGTGTGACACCAAAGGGGCGAAGGCGTGCACGTGGCCAGCCCCTGCGGTAAGCACGCCAAACCTCCCACCGCCGAGCAGCAGAAGGTGAGCAAGGGGGGAGAAGAAACATTCCTGGCAGTTTTACAATGTTTTGGCATTGGCCCTTTGGGAAGGAAAACCTCCGTCTTCACATCTTGGGTTTTGAAATGACCCGGCTTGGATTGGGGAATGTTATACCTGGCTCGCAAAATTGCAAGAAATCCCCCCAGGGATCCCATCTTCCGACTCAGAAGCAGTTTTATGCTGCCCCTGTCTGGGGGAAAGAGGATGGTAGGAGCGTGCTGGAGAGCTGGGAGCCTCCTTTTTCTTAGAAAAAGTCAAGAACAGCCAATGTGTCATTTTCTGGCTTGCGTAACTCGGCTGAAGCCCCCGGGGCAGCCGCCGTCTCCAGCCCAGGGGGGAGAGGAGCACCCGTGGGATGCAGTGCCACTGAGGACGCGGGGATGGGGACCAGCCCCCGGACCCCGCTCACCCCGAGCCCCTCACTGCAGTCCCTGAGGGTGTTCAGGAGCTGCTCCCAAGCCCTCGGTGCAGGAGAGGCTGGGCCATTGAACGCTTCTTGGAAAACACACCCCAGCCCTGAGAAACAGGGTTTTTTCTTACCCCCAGCCCCAGCTTTCAGCCCCTCCTCAGGCAGAGGAAGAAGAGGGGACTGGAGACAGACGATGCTGTCAGGTCATTCTGCAACTCAGACGCGCAGGGATCAGCACTGACCCACGTGCATATTCATACATTTTTCTCTTTCTGCTTTCTGGGTATATCACAGTTGTTGTTTAGTCCTGGAAAAACAAGCTATTTGGGGCCTTTGGGCATCTGGTAACACAGATGACAGCAGAAACGTGCGCCATACATGTGAAATCACATGCCACCCTGTAACGGCACCAGTTTAACTTCTTTTTTTCCTGGATTTATGCCTGTGACAGATGAGGCTGTTACCCTCACCCAAACTCATTTTCTCAAGGAATACCTAAAATCTATTTCTCCTTTTGCGTATGACAGTGTCACCGTTCAACGCGACTTCTACCTCCAAAGCGCTCCTGCTCTCTGCAAGCTGCACACAAAGAGACTGTTCCCAGACAACAACATTTAGCCTGCAGGTACTTTCTTAAGTGGGCTATTTGACCAGCTGGCATTCTGTGGAAATGATTGCTTGGAATCAGCAGAGGTCAGCTCTTGATTTCTAATTCAGCTGCTAGGCACATACAGCACCTGCAAAACCTTTTTAGAGGGCAACGCAAGCACAAGCAGAGCAAGGCAGAGCACAAGCACTGGGAGCAAGGCTGTGATGGACCGAGTACCTTCTGGGAAGTGATTAACCTCTGGTAGGATCAGACTCCTCCTCATGAGAAAAGCTTCCTGGACAAACTCCATCTTAGCATCGTCCTGATTGCTTAACGAAGGGAGTTATAGGGCAAACATTGCTACAGCATCCACTGTTTTGTATTGTTGCTAATGCTATTTAAAAAAAAAAAAAAAAGCAAAAGCAGCCAAAGCAAATCAAATATAAAAGATAATAGAAAATTCAGCAAAAATGAGCTCTCTCTTGGAAAATGTGCTGGGAAATATTTTTTGCTCTTTGCCTCTCCATCTAATGGCCATGTTGGGCAGGAGAAGGACCCAGCCTTCAAGAAGATGATGCAGCGGATTGGAGTCTGTCATAGCCTTTGGTTGATGGAAGAGAAGGGATCTTCAAACAGAAACGCAGGAGGAAAGGCGAAATGCTCTCCACCAGCAGGAAACTCTGCCCTTTGCCAGTGGATGTGGTTAAATCACATCAGCATTTGTGGCAATTACACAAGCACAAACCACAGGACAGCAGAGATGCTCCCATCTAATTCAAACCCGAAAACCAAAGCACAAGGAGGGTCAAGGCTACCTCTGCCACTCCGGTGTCTGCTGGTGCCCTATTGCCCATGGTGCGACGATGGAGCATAGTTAAGCACTTTAAGGGCGAGTACCCAAGTGTCACACCTCTTAACCAACCCATGAGGAATTGGCTTTGAAGCAATTAAGTAGAGCCCGGTTGGTAAGGTGAAAACCTGAGGTCTTGCAGGAGACTTGGGGTCACACAGATCTTGACCCACCCAATGGGTGACCCCCCATCCGGCACTGAATGCATTACAAATATTATAGGGACAACATCTGTTCACAGCCTTCTGGCCAGAGGACAGGGACTACCGCTGCACACCCTATGTATTATCTGCTTTTACTGACGTCTCCAGCTAATTAGTACTTCAGTCGTAATAGAAACATCACAGCAAAATCTGCTGCCAGGGAGGGACCAGCTTTTAATTTGCGCTCTGCAGGTCAGGGACTGTTTGCCCTTCGGCTCCCTATAAAAAAAAGAACGTTTTCAGCAATGCCATAAAATGTTAGATGGATGCGGCGTGAATTATTTCACTTTATAAGGTGGAGCAACTGTGCAGCACCAGTAGCTCAAAGGGACGTCGTATCTGGATGCCTGGGAGTTTCTTGCGACGCAGAGCTGGGCTGTGCAGGGCAGAGGGCACGGGGCGAGCTGGACCCCCAGGCTGTGTTGGGGGGAGCTTCATGGGGGTGTTTGCTGGGCAACTCACTCTCCCACAGACCTCAGCCAGGTCACTGAATCTCCCTGTCTTCAAAACGCTGCCAATTAAATGGGATGATAAATGCGTCCTCCATAATTGCACACACGGCCCTGGGGGAGCTGCCTGTTACTGCCGCAGTGCCCCCCAGCTCGAGCTGAGCCAGGTCCCAGAGCAAGGAAAATTATTAGAATCTTACACATTAATAAAAATGTTATCACCTCACTCTGCAGAGGAACTGCTTAAATTCGTTGCAAGCCCCATCACGCTGAGCATCTGCTCCAGAAAGCAGGAAAGAAGTGAGTCGTTAAGGGAGGCACTGCCCGTAAGGAAATTCATACTGTGGCTACGTATGGAGGACGGATGCCTTTGGAAGATCTCCCTCCCAGCATTTTAAAAAGGGGTTTCTAAAATGAAAGACAGAATGATTTGCACTCTAATACGAAGGCCTTGCCACGTTTCTCGTCTCTTGACCTGTATCCCCGATAACTTGTTACACTTCAGCTCCAAAGCATGCAACAACCGCTTCAGTATTCAGGGATTGCTCATCTGAACTCGATGTTGCTCAAGACTCTGTACTGACGGGGTTTTACACAACACAAGTTTTCAGGAACACGAGCGGCTTTGGAAATGTGGGGCTTTGCTTCGGAGAACTTTGTTTTGAAGAGCAATTCCCAACTCCCTTGCCATTTCACGTCTTTTTTTCCTCTGCGTATATCTGAGGCTGTTTGAGCAAAACCCTCTCCAGCTCATTAGCTTCTCCTCTCCCTCCTTGCTTTACCACCCGCCGGTTAGGGGGATCCTGGCTGAACACAGAGATCATTTCCCATCTTGGCACGTGGCTGGCAACTTCCCCAAACAAACACGCGGAAAACCCAGGAGCGGGGCGAGGAGGCACGGGCGTAGCAGAGCAAACCTGTCCGTCCAGGCGGGGCAGAGGCAGAGAGCTCGGCTTCAGCAGCGCTCAGCTCTCCGGGGGCCGGGCGATGCTCGCCGGCGCATCCCCACCACCCGCTGCCAGCATCCCGCCGGAGGCCCTCGGGACCGGGTACTAAACACCCCGTAGGCTGCTCGCTGCCGGGGACAGCAAGACAGACGGACTCCATTTTGCAGGGGGCAGGCGCAGGACAAGCAATGTTTGGCTGCAATGGAAAAAAGCTGGGGAGTGGTGAAGAAAAAAAGCAAGGCAGTATCTCTGGCGAACAAACCGGGCTCAGTATTTTCTTTTCCGAGAAGTTTTCTGCTGAGGGACTCGGAAGCGAGCGATAGCTGTGCCAGACGAGCGCAGCCGTCCGATAATGCAAGCTACAGCAGGCTGCAGAAGGACGGCGTGGGCAGGGGTCTGAGCCTCCCCACGCTGGGCTGCGGACCAGACCCCTGCCGCAGACACGTCCGTGCACACACACCCATCCCTGCAGCCGCAAAATGAAACCCAAACACGTTTGGGGTGAAAGGGCTGAGAAATATTACCCTGGGATGCGGTCATGAGAAACAGGCTCAGCCCGATGGGACAAGCATCTCACCTGGCTTTTCCCTGCAGTTTCTACCAGGGGACTGGGGAAGAGGAGAGAAAGAGCCGTGCACAGAGGGGGAGGAATTTCTTTTAACTAGTCATGTGCTCGAGGACTGCGTAACGTGCAAAAGGGGTTAACTGGGCCTATTTCAAAGCATTTAAAAATATTTTTAGCCCCCAAGGGCAGCTGACAGCAGTCCTTCAAGCGCTGAAGCCTGGAATCTGCCTCTGCTTTAGCAGCTGGCCTTGATTTTTCCCCCCCTCTTCACAAAACGGAGGATTAAAGAGCTTGAAAACATTTGTTTTGAGCTACACGGAAAGGCCAGCCATCTATAAAGCTCTGCATTTGGTAAACAAGCAAGCAAAAACGAGAGGGGGCTGCCAGGCACACCGGGGCTGAATGGGCAGGCAAGCCCATGGCCCCGAGCGGCGGCCCCCACCCTGCCGGTCACCCCTATAACGGGAAGACACCTGCTTGGCACTGACCCGGAGCACAAGGGACCTGGGGTGGCCGCAGGGTGACAGAAGCGGGGGTGACGTACCTGTTGCGTTGGAGAGCGCGAGGGACTCCATGGAGCCGCGGGGAGTCTGCTCGGTGGGCGTCAGGTCCTCTGTGAACTTGAGGGTGTTGATGGGGTGCCGGGTGCGGCACTGTGGTGTCGGCATCCCGCCTTCCTCTTCCTCTTCGTACTTGGGGACTTTGAGACTTCCTCTGGTCTCGGGGAAGCTCTGGTTGGACATGTCGCTGTAGCTCTCCTGCGAGCGAAGCCTCCCCGAGTAGTAGTCCTCTCTGCAGTCCTGGATGAAGCTGCCGCCATGGCTCTTCATCGCCAGCGAGGAGCTCCGCTTTGGGTTGCTGAAATGTTTCGCCCATAAATCCGTCTGTGAGCCCGGGACCTGGCTGGGGTTATAGGAGGTCCTTATGTTGCACTGGCTGAGAAGCTGCAAAGGGCTTTGGGACTGACTTTGCTCCATTTTGCTCCCGTAGTGGTAGAGCTCGTCCCGGCTCCTCCACAAGTGCTCCCTGTTGAGGCTCGGCGTCTGGCTGGCCAGGCTCAGCAAATCCATCTGCAGGGACAGCGGGTCCACGTCGGTGGAGAGGCGGTTGGAGGTGACCTGCAGCTGGTTGCATGGGCTGCGCGCCCCCTCCTCGCCTTTCCCCTTGTTCTTGCCGATCTTGGCGCTGCGGCGGGGATCCTTGGGCCTCCTTGGCTCGGGCGCTCTGGAAAGCCGAGTCGGAGGAGTCGGAGCCGTTGGGGTCGTCGCCGACGCTGCAGGCCCTGGAGCAGAAGATCTGCCCCTGCTTGGGCAGGAAGGGCCGTCCCAGCAGGGACTTCTTGCACTGCGCGCAGCAGAAGCAGGTCTCGGTGGCGTGCCAGTGCTGGCCGTCGTACGTCATCTGGCCCTGGTCGATACCTTGAGAGGGAAGACGCACAGTGTCAGAGTTATACCATGTACATAGAATCATTAAGGTTGGAAAAGACTTCTAAGATCATCAAGTCCAACTGTCAATCCAACACCACCATGCCCACTAAACCATGTCCCTAAGTGCCTCATCTACACGTCTTTTAAATACTTCCAGGGATGGTGACTCCACCACTTCCCTGGGCAGCCTGTTCCAAGGCCTGACCACTCTTTCAGTAATGAAATTTTTCCTAATGTCCAGTCTAAACCTCCCTTGGCACAACTTGAGGCCATTTCCTCTCGTCCTCTCGTCTCCTCCATCACTTCGTGCTGCACTTAACACACGCATCCCCTACGAGCGACACGCACCCGGGCTCGCTCCCGAAAGCCCTTCAGCAGGGTTTCTCCGGCACATGAAGTTAAGCCCATTTCTAATTCCTTGCAGGCTGCAGGCCTTTGCTCGGGAGTTGCTCAATGTTGGGAAAGGCAGCAGAACCGAGCCTCAAGCTACTTCGTATTAAATGGGGATATTTCCGATCATAAAGCAAAGGAATGCAAGAAGTTCTCCATAAAGTCCTTGAAGTCAAAGCAGAAATATGCTGCCTGTTTGAAAAAAACCAAAAAGCCTCCAACCGAACCACAATGAGGAATTTGTGCTGCCTTGGTTAAGTATGTAACAGAGCAGATCGCATCCCTGTCCCTCGCTGCTGCTGCGGCCCCATCCTAACTTTGTTTTGGCTACTGGGCCCCTTCTCTGAAAGGGAGCAGAAAGAGCCGGCCCCAGGGATCTGAGTGCACCCCCTTGCCTCGCACCCAGCCACGTTCCCCGTGTTTCCCCTTGGGTTAAGTACAGGAATTGATGCAGAGAGCC